GATGCTCATTAAACTGTATCAGGATTTCAATAACCCTTTCCATGTCTCATGTCATAGAAGGTGCTGAAAGTTCCCCCATCCACACTTGTCTGAAATTGAAAGAAAGGAATAAAAAAAAAAATCAAGACAAAACACTTCAGAAAAGCGACACGAAGAGGTCAGAAGCCTTTCACAGTTAAGATCCAAGAGGATATGACAAATTCCTGACAAAACTCCAAACAAGCTTGGTCTCACTTGAGCATTAATGGGCAGGGGAGATCACCCTGGAAAGTCCTACAGTCCTAGTTTCCAGCAGAACTCTCACCAAGTACCCATGTCAGCATGGCATCACTCGAGGGGATAGAGGTTGAGGAAAAAAACCAAAAAAACCCTTCTCTGAACAACTCTCCCTCCCCATCTGGTTTACAAGAAACAAGCCATGGACATACCACAATGATGCTGATGTTTAAGTTATTCACAGGCTAGACTGTTGCATCTATGAGAAGTGAGAGAACTAAGAGTGCCTTGTTTCCAGGAAAGGATGAAGTAACTGGGCAGCTCTCAGCAAAGGGCAGACCTGCTGATCAAACAGCCCTGTTTGCTTAAGGCACTGCCTGTCTGTTTTTACCAAGCACCTCTCATCCCCAGCAAACTGAGTGGGCTTGGCAATAATTTAGGAGCTCACACCACTGTTGTCATCTGTCAAAATATCAAATCCACACAGACAAGATGAATAAAATGAGTATTAAGGTTGTGTTTCTTCACCCTTCCCCATAGGAAAAGCACAGGAAGTAATGAGAGGAAAAGCAGCACACACACAGCTCAACTGGTGTTAATCTACTGCATGACACCTCACTAGTTATCTGCTTGAAAAAAGCTGCACAGCAGAGGCACTTTGCTTCCAGGCAAATAAAGCATACATGCAGCCCTTCAAACCACAGAGGTTCAGGAAACAAAGTTATCTCTGCCACTATTTCCAATTTCCAGTATTAAACACACTGAAAGCCCAGCTGAACATGTGTGAAAACTGACAGACCTCTCAGGAAAGTCCTTCAGCCTTTGTCTGTGGAACAATTACCACCAGTGCTAGCAAGTGTGCTGCTTAACGAACACCTTTTGCTTAGAGTGCTTACAGATCAAACTTCCTACTGCAGAACAGCTTGTTCAACACCATGCCTAATGGTTCTGGTGTTGTAATCCTGCAGGAAACAACTCCTGGATTATTTGTCTTTTGAAGTGAGCATCCCTGACACTCACCATAACTGACACTGCTTCTGTAACTTACTAGCTCTGCTTTGCAAGATAGATTCTGAACTCTTCAGCTTCAGGGACACAGGCGTACTGTCTGCAATCTTTATTTCTGTCTATTCACTCATTTACTGCATGTGCACACACTTGTGCTTTGTAGTATTTATCTATAGATTGATTATATCACAGCCAGTACCTTTGAGTGTGACAAAGCCCTTAGTAAAAGGAGACAGATCTCTCCAGGTTTGTTGGCAGACAATTCCCTGAACCAAGAGTAAGAAAGCTAAAGGCAGGTGGCCATCAACAGTCCTGCTCACCTTCATTAGCCAAGAGGACAGGTTACTGTTTTGGAATATAATTTACTCCCAGAAGTAAGAAGCTGATAGATCTGACCCTGGAAAAGGAACCATGTTCTTGGATGCTCATGCAGCAGCACTGCATGAAGTTGAGAAGTCAAACTCTTGGTATCTTGTCTGCTCTGCCATCCTTGCCAATACAAAAAGAGGTTTCTGTTGTAATGGTTGTTGGTCCACAGGTAATCTGCTGGCACTTAAATCTAGTCTCCAGGTGGATTTTGCTTGAAATCACTGGAGGCATTCTTGGTATTCCAGTGGAGGTTGGATGACTAGTACAACAGAAGAGATCAATACCTCTCCATATATTTTGTCACAGAGGCCTCAATCTCTTTAGTAAAGCCAGGATTAATAAGAGAAAAGGCAATCTAGAAAGAGCAGAGAGAAACAGATTCAGACATCTAGCAAGTAAACTCTACTAATGGCTCTGAAATACAACAGTGACTGGCTGCAGAGCACAGATAGCAAAGATGAATATGGGACAAAGCAGAACAGCATTACTCTGCACTGTCAAAAAACAGCCAGGAGACACACAGTGGAAGCTGGAAAGCAGAATCAGCTTCTCTGCTGCTCACAAATCTGAATGGAGAGGAGGGACAGAATTTAGATGTAATCCTCCCTGCACATTAACACCAGAGATCACCTGCAGTGTACTCACAACTTTACACTCTTCACTGTATTTCATAATTTCAGAACCAATCTATACCTTGGTTTTTGCGTTCCCATAAGGAAAATGAACATGCCACCAGAAATTAAATGCTTTTCTCCCACCTACCTAAGGCAGATAGCCAAGCAGAGAAACTCAGAAGGCTGATTAAAAAGGCTGTATGTAGCTGTACTAACATTCACTGCCTGAGTTCACCTTTGCCACTCTTTTTTGGCTGTGTAGACTGAACTCAGCTGGGGCCAGCTGAAGACAGGGGCCTGTTATAACCCACCTTGCTTCTAGCCCCTATTTTGTACAAACACCACCACAAACCTCTTACAAAAAGATGGGACTTAGAGCTGTTATAACTGGTATTTTCTGCCTGTTGGGCAGTAAACTTGAATGCACTCCTCAACACAGATCCTGCAAATCACTGCTTTTAACCTCTGCCTATCCAGGCAACTCCACAGAAGGTGCTGGCTAAGCTGCAAAATAAACTTGAGGAAACAAGAGGTTGGGGCTGTGTTTTGTTGGAGTTGTTGGGTTTTTAGGGTTTTTGGAGTGTCTGTTCACAGCCTGGCTAGGCAGTTCTATCAGTGTAACCCATCAGGATGCCACAGCAGTGGTCACAATCCCATATCTACCCTCGTTCCCAAAGACTCTGTAGTTCATAAAATCATTTTGGTTGGAAAAAAACCTTTAAGATCATCAGGTCCAACCATTAATCCAACAACACCAAGTCCACTGCTAAACCACATCCCTCAGCAGTGCTCCTAGTTGTTGGCTCTGCATTCCACAAAGTATTTTGAGTTACTTCCATATCAGCTCTCCCAAGCAGTCTTCATCCACCAGTCACTTCGCTCACTGCTGGAGAATTGTCTTTCACCTACAGCTTTTTCTTCTGTTTGGCTAGTAGGAGTGGGAAGACTGGAAAGTGGACATTGTGTAAGAGGTGAGAGTAGCTGGAAAGTAAAAGGATTCCCCACCTGACACAGGAAGGGATATTAAGGTCACACTTTCATTTTCCTTCCTAGAAAGAAAAGAAAAAAAGCAGACCAAGAGTACAGCATCTGGAAGGGCCACTTTCTACTTAGATATACTACAGCTCTCCCCCAGGTACAGATATTCAGGAGGGGACTATCCAGAACTACTCTGCTTAAATATACATGGGAGATTAGGACAGAGTATTCAGGTCCCAGAAAATCCACACTGGAGCAGAAAAACAGCTATTAAAAACCTAGGGGAACATGTGGCTCTGTACACAAAACTGCCAGTAAGGTAAGAGAGGACTTAAGATGGGCAACAACCTTATCCAGGCTCAGCACAGACATTCATCCTCAGAAGCTGTCACTACAAGTCCTCCTGCTAGAGGCTGGCAGGATGGCTGAGACCTGTGTTCTACAGCAGGAGAGTGCCCCATGCAACCCCCAAATGAGGAAAGCTACTCCCAGCAAGCAAAGGTTCAATCTCAGACCCTGCTGAAGCCTCATTTCAAACACACCATACAGCAGGACCACAGGAAGAGGGGAGCAAGGATGGCCACTGCAGACCAGAGACTATTTCCAGATGTGAACCCAAAAGCCTAGTTTGGTCAGAAAGGCAAAAATACTGTTCCTGGGGGAAGCCAAGTCACAACACTGGCACATAAGCTGGCCATGAGTAAGTTAATGCTGGGAGTTATACACAATCTGCTTCCAGAAGAGCCAACAGCTGAGAAGTGAAACACAAACTGAAGACAGAAACCAAGCTCCAAGCTGAAGCACAAGGCACTTAGCAGGACTCTGAGGTGTTGCAGAAGCTCCCTGATGCCAGCTGTCAGCACGGTTCAGGTTTTTCTCTCATCTGCAACACCCTGATGTAGTTCTGGGGCACTCGATGCATCAGTGCTGCACTCTGGAGAGCAGAACACTCTCAGCTCCTTCCTGATTCCCACTCAGAGATCCTGCAGCCCTTGTGCAGTAACAGGAACTTGCCTTTTACTGTAAGAAGGAGCAGAAGGGGAATTCCCCAGCTTCTAAAGCCATCTCTTACTGTTTGTACTGGACACAGCCCTTAAAGGAAAGACTGAGAACAGGAAAAGTTACATAAAACCTAAATTTTCAAGCATGGTTTACCCAACACTGGAACCAAGTGACAACCCTAGAAGTGCTGGTGATGAGGAGAACAAACCCCACTCATTCCTCCCCTCCTGCCCTCAGGGAGGGTCCGCAGGCACCAAGCAGGTAAGACACTCCCCTGGGGCAGGGCTGTGAACCTGGGGAGCCTCTCTACACCTGCACTTGATGCTGGGACCCCGAGATGGAGCAGGGATCTCCTCCTCAAGTTCATTCCCACCTTTGGAAAACCTCACCTGACAAAAGCATCAGCAGAATGGGAGCTTTCTGGAGAAAATTCAAACCCTCTATGTCTACTATTTAGACGGAAACGTTCTCACCCCTTCTGAACACAGCCCAGCTCAGCAGAGCATAAAAGCAAAAGCCACAAGTTCCCGTGGCAGAGCCTGAGAAGTTTATACCAGGAGAAGGAAAGCAAAAGCACTCGGCTCTGTTCACCCCAGCCGAAAGCACGGAAGTTTATGACAGAATGTGAAATTTAAACGAAAAGAGACGTTTTAAAACCCACCCAGCTGGGGGAAGAAGGGGAAAGACCCCCGGGTGCCCGCTGACCTCCAGCCCAGGGCCGTTCGAAGCTATTGAAGCGCAGCACCGAGGCGGGTCCCGGGGCCCTCCCCGGGGTGCCAGCCGCCCAGCCCGCCCGGGGGGGCCGCTCCCTACCTGAGATGGTCTCCTGGTAGCCCTTGGTGAAGAACTGCATGGCG